GGAGCATGGTGGCAGGCAGACATAGCACTTGTAGCAGTAGCTGAGAGCTTACATCTTTTTTTAAGATTTATTTTTATTTATTGTATATGCATACATACTCTATCTGCATGTACACCTGTATGCCAGAAGGGTGCATCAGATTGCATTGTAGATGGTCATGAGCCACCATGTGATTGCTGGGAATTGAACTCAGGACCTCTGGAAGAGCAGCCAGTGCTCTTAACTGCTGGGCCATCTCTCCAGCTCTTAGAACTTATATCTTGATCCACAAGCATGGAGCAGAGAGAGTGCTAACTGGGCCTGGCATGCAGATATATATATATATATATATATGAAACCTCAAAGTCCACCCCAGTGATATACTCTCTCTAATGAAGCCACACCTATTAATCCATCCTAAATATTTCCACTGATTAGGGACTAACCATTTACATATATGAGCATATGGGGGGCATTTCCATTCAAGCCACCACACTCCTCTACACCTGCATGTGTATACTCTCATCTCCACCTTATTACAAAAATAATAGTGATTGTTTGTTCTGACAGGATAGCCATAGCATCTGCACACCAGAGCTTCTGCTAAGTGGTACCTATACCTGTGATGTTCACACCCCCTTTGATGGTAGAAGCTTAGCTCCAGATTCTTGTCTGTTTAGTTACTTGACCCAAAGATGTTCCATCTGGTGCCGGACACCTGTAACCTGAGGATGTAAATGTTCTTATGGACACTCTGCCTTTCTCCAGAGCGAGGATCAGAGCCAGGAAACACAAAGAGAGGAAGGCAGCGAGTGGCAGGAGTTGGTGCCATCCAGATGCCAAGGAGTGGTCCTGGTGTTCATCTTTGTCACATTTCTTTTGTATGAAATTTCCAGAATAGAGAAATCTAATGGAGATAGAAAACAGGTTCCTGTAGGCTTAGGGATCAGGCTTGTGTGAAAGAGGAGCAAAAGCTAGTGAGAACAGAGTTACTCTTTGAAGCAATAATTTGTAACAGTGCTCTTATAACTCTGTGGATATAGTATAAATCATGTGTGATGGTCAGTGTTGACTGTCAACTTGACAGGAACTAGGAGACAAAACTCTTTGTGTGTTACAAACCTCCACCAGGGAGTTTCTAGATTGAATTTGTTGAGGTGGGGGAGATCCTTGCTAAATGTGAGCAGGACCACCTGATAGCTGGAATCTCAGAATGAGTAAAAAAAGAAAGCAAGCTGACCACAGGACTCATCTCTCTTTGCTTTCTGACTTCCAATGTAATGTGTCCAGATACCTCATACTCCTGTAGCCATGCCTCCTCTCCTGCCATGATGAACATGATGTACTCCCACACTGTGAGCTAAAATAGACTCTTCTTCCCTAAGTTGCTTTTGTCAGGTATTCTCTCAGCAATGGGAAAATTAACTACTACACTGTGTGTGCATGTGTGTGTATGTGTGTGTGTATGTGTGTGTGTGTATGTGTGTGTGACTACTTTCAAGGTGAATGTTCAGGAAAAAATTCAGTGAAATATACTGCCAACAACAGATGATGGACAAAGAAGATGTGGTATCTATACACCATGGAATACTACTTGTCCATTAAAAAAATGTAAAATCAAGACATTAGTAGGAAAATGCACAGAACTGGAGATTATGATGTTACACGCCAAAGTGAGCCAGACTCAGAGTGACAAGTACTGCTAAATTTAAGTGTGTGTGTGTGTGTGTGTGTGTGTGTTTCTATAAGGAAGTAGAAAGTGGGCCTTGAGGAAGTAAGGTTGAAGAAGGGTAATGGAATACATGGACATAAAAACAGAGGATGGTAGTATATCAGATAAAGAAGGCAGTGGGTGTGCAGATGAGTGTTCATGTGCTGGTTAGTTTTAACCATCAACTTGATACAGTCTAGTATTCCTTGGGAAGAGAGTCTTCATGAGGAATTCTCTATAGGGACATCTCTGTTGGGGACTTTCTTGATTGTTAATTTGTGTAGGAAGACCAGCCCATTGTGGGCAGCACCATTCCCTAGGCAGGGGTCCTGAACTGTATGGGTGGTGAAACTGAGTAGTTCAAAAGCAAGCAAGAAAGGATCCATAAACAGCCCCTTATTTTCTCTGTGCTCTTGACTGGCTGCTTGAGTTCCTGCCTTGAATCCCCCCCTCCAAAGACCTGGAATAATAAGTAAAATAGACTCCCTCAGAATAAACAACTCATAAGTTGTCTTCTGTCAGGCTATTTTATTACAGCAACAGAAATGAAATTAAAACAATGGGGGGAGGCAGTAATGGAGAGAGATGAGTAAGAATAAAGTATGATGACATCTACAAATGAAACTGCCATAATTAAGCCCATTACTTTAGAGGTCAACTTAAAAATTTAATGGAAATAAATGCACTTATTAAAACAATTATGTGTACCCACCGAAGCAAACTTACCACTGGGAAGATAACTAGGCATATAGAAGTATGGGGATGTGAGGGTTTATTTTTCTTTTTTAAAGTTTGTTTCTTTCATTTTTACTTTAGCTGTATGCGTGTTTTGCCTGGGGGTATATTTATCTGTGCACTACAAGCATCTAGCACCTCAGGAGGCCAGAAGAGTATGTTGGATCCCCTGGGACTGCAGTTACAGGGTAGTGAGCTGCCATGTGAGAGCTAGGAACCAAACCCAGGTCCTATGAAAGAGCAGCCAGTGCTCTTAACCACTGAGCCAGAAGGTTTCTATTTTTCAAGCTGTTTGTCTTAGGCAATAAAATTTATTTATGCATAATATAAATAGATATATCTGAGATGGCTCAGCAGTTAAGAGTACTTCCTGTTTTGCCAGAAGACCTGAGGGTTAATTCCCAGCATCCAAGTCAGGTGCCTTACAAACAAGCTGTCCAAGAGCTAGCATTGTGCTAAGTGTCTCAGTCACCAAACATACAGGCTGGCGACGTAGCTTAGTTGGTAGAATGCGTGCCTAGCCCTCACCAAGCCCTAGGTTAGGCCCCAGCATCCTATAAACCAAGCATAGTGTACCCACATGGAATCCCATCCCCAAAGAGGTGGAGAACAAGAGGACCATCAGCTCGAGGTCAGGCTCAGCTAAATGCCAAGTTTGAGGTCATCCTGGGCTAGATGAGATTTTGTCTCAAAAGAAAAAGCGGGGCTGGAGAGGTGTTTCAGTGGTTAAAACTTTAGCACCCACATTTGTTAGCTCACAACTGCATGTAATTCCAATTCCAGGACATTTGACATCCTCTTGGACTCTGTGGGTAGCCACTCACGCATAGCATACATCCACACCCACGAACATACATATATATAAAAATAAATATTAAAAAAATAGATGAATAATAAGCCCGAGAAGATGGCTCAATGGTTAAGAGCACATACTATATGCTCTTCTAGAGGACTCAGGTTCGATTCCCAGCACCTACATACCAGCTCACAACCACCTGCACCTCCAGTTCCAAAGGATCTGACACCCTCTTCCCCTCTTCTGGCCTACATGGTACACAGACATGAATGTAGGCAAAACACCCATACATACAAAATAAAGCTAAATAAATGCTTTTAAATGAATAAAATGGGCCGGGCGGTGGTGGCGCACACTTTTAATCCCAGCACTTGGGAGGCAGAGGCAGGCAGATTTCTGAGTTCGAGGCCAGCCTGGTCTACAGAGTGAGTTCCAGGACAGCCAGGACTACACAGAGAAACCCTGTCTCGAAAACAAAACAAAAACAAACAAACAAAAAAGAATAAATAAATAAATAAATAAATAAATAAAATGGGAGTCGGTCATGGTGTCACATGCATTTAATCTTGGCACTCAGAAGGCACTGAATCTATGTGGATTTAAAGCCAGCCTGGTCTACATACCATGCTCCAGGCCAGCCAGGGCTACTTTGAGTCTTTGTTTTATTTTTTTATTTTATTTTTATTTATTTATTTTTTATTTTTTTGTTTTTTTTTTTTTTCAAGACAGGGTTTCTCTGTGTAGCCCTGGCTGTCCTGGAACTCACTCGGTAGACCAGGCTGGCCTCGAACTCAGAAATTCACCTGCCTCTGCCTCCCAAGTGCTGGGATTAGAGTCTTTGTTTTAAAACCAAAACCAAAACAAGACAGACAGACAGATAGAGACAGACAGAGAGAAGGGTCAGCTGTTAAAGGCTAAGCTAACAACTGAAAAGAAAAAGTAAATCAGTAATTGCACACATGTACACCATGTTAGGTGAATTATTATATAATGTCAATAAAGTAGTCACATCTACCAAAAATCAACTGAGGCACTGTGGGTCTTTCTGTGGAAAAAGAAGCCACTAACAGTACCATGTGGGTGGAGGCTCATGTCCGGTTTCTGTCTTCTCCACACTTTCATCTCCTGAGTTCAGCATCCTCCAGACAACCTGCTCAAGGTTCAAGCAAGACCAACCATTGGCCGAAGTGATAGCTGGCGGTAACTAGGGTTGCCCGTGTAGCAGTAGCACCAATAGATAGTGCTGCTAAGCAAGGCTGTCATCTGCCTGTTTACTTTCCTTTGATTTGTTTTACTCCGGTTTACTCAGCTCCAGGTTCCCCCAATAGGCAGGTCAATCCTCCCTATTCCCTTCTGTAAGCAAGGCCAACCCACACCCTTGAGAGACTTCCCTCCCAGCCTCCTGTGTTTGAGCTGGGAGCCTTCCCAAGTGAGGAATCTGAAGTTGTCAAGATCCCTTCAGTCTCAGCAGAGTGGGCTCCTGATCAGATTCTGTCCCAGACACTCAGCCTCACTTGGAAGCAGAAGATAAGACCAGATGAGCTCAGGAGAAGCCAGTAGGTGTCCCTGAGGGGCCCATGCATTTGCTGCCTTGCTGCTCTGCATGGAAAAACAAGGCTGGGTGGGGGATGGCAGGCCTGTTTGCACACCGCACTGTTCAAACAGACTCCCCTGCCGCAGACACCTGTGCGGTGGAGGACAGGCCAGGCAGTGGCAGGGGCTCTCACCTCTTCCAGCTCTCCCCACAGCCACCCTGACAGCCACTGCAGGGTCCTGGCCACATCATGCCCCGTGCTGGGGTCTGCAGCTGCTGGGGTGGCCAAATATTGCCCCTGCTTCTGGCCTATGTCTGCTACCTGCTGCTTGGGGCCACCATCTTCCAGCTGCTGGAGAAGCAGGCAGAGGCTCAATCCAGGGACCAGTTCCAGCTGGAAAAGCTACGCTTCTTAGAGAACTACACCTGCCTGGACCAGCAGGCCCTGGAGCAGTTTGTACAGGTGAGGGAATACTAAAGGATGGGACAGGAAGAGCGGGGAGGTGATGGAGGGGCTGATGACAGGTGCAGAGCCACCACCCAGAGCTTGGTTCTCCGTTTGGAAGCAGAGTGTGGAGGAGCCTGGAATCTGGAGAGATCTAGTTCGGGGCCCTGATTCTCACATCTGTTATGTGACCTTGGTCCAGTCACTTCACCTAAATGTCCTCATCAGTAAGATGAGAATATATATATTTGGGGTTGCGGAGGTGGTTCAGTCAAGTGTCTGCCAAGTGTCTAGACCCAGATCCCCTGTTAAAAAGCCAGGGGTGGGCGGGTAAGATGGCTCAGTGAGTAAAGGCATTGAGCCGAGCCTGATGTCTGACATTCAATTCCTGGAGCTCACATGGGGAAAGGAGAGAACCAACTCCTGGAAGTTGTCCTCTGAGCTTGACATGCATACAAAGGCGCATGCATTTCCACACGCATAGAAACACACCCACACACCCACACATACTGCTATGTACTAATTAAAATGTAATTAAAAAAAAAAAAGCCAGGCACGGCGGCTTGTAATCTCAGCACTGGAGTGTCCTAGACAGGCCGATCCCTTGGGCTCTCTGGCCAGCCAGCCTTGCCAAATGGTCAAGCCTCAGGCCAACAAGAGAGCCTGTCTCAGAAAACAAAAAAAAAGGTAGAAAGCTAGGCAGACAACTTAGAAAAAGAGTATTAAAAGTAGAAAAGAGTATTTTGTAAGCATAGGGACCTGAGTTTGAATCCCTAGCCCCCATGTATAACTCTGGTTATGGCTGCAAGTGCCTGTGACTGAAGCATTGGGTTGGCGGATTGGGGAGACAGGTGGATCCTGGGCGCTCACTGGCTACGCCAGACCAGCCTAACCAAAAGGGCAAGCTTCTTGTTTGGTGAGGGACCCTGTCTCAAGGCAAAAACCAAACAAGGCTGATGGCTCTGAGGAATGACACCTGCGGTTGAATCCTGGCCACCTGCACATACATACACGTACACAATTCTCTGCACATGAGCAAATGCATACAGGCACACATGCATCCATACAGAAAATGCTTCTGCAGTCGACACACATGAGCTGTGAGTCAGCAACACTCTAGAGATGTCCTCTCTCCCACTCCCCCACTTCTCAGGACTGCTGCTCAGGCTGGCTGCCAGCTTATGTCCCAGGGTGGAGTCACACACAAAGATTGGAACCAGCTGGACTGGTGGACAAGGCCGGGGCGGTGTGGATGAGCGCTGCCAGGACTGGATCCCTAGGTAGTCTTACTTCCTGCCTGGGTTCCTCCTGCCTCCCTCTCTTCCAGAAACAAAGCAAAACTAGGTATTTTGGGCAAAGGTGGGACACTGAGAAGATGGACAGACAGGTGGAACAGGTAATATTAGTGAACGCCAAATAGTAGGCTAAGCACAGGTGACCCAGTGAGAATGTGTGTTCATGGGTAGGGACACGGCTCTGGGCCATTGTGATTCAGCACCTGGGGCTGAGCACCCTGCAGGTGCTTTCTTCCCAGTTGCTTACTGCAATCCTTGTCTTCATCTTGCAGGTGAGAGATGCAGGGTGTGGCCAAGGCTGCACAGTCATTGGCTGAGGCAGAACTCACACCCATGCTTCTCATTGGGGAGCCCTTAATGAATTACCTGAACTAGCTCACCTGCTGAGGACAGGGTACTGCTGAAAGTGAGAATTTTTAAGGTGGAGTCTGTGGTCCTCCCTCACCAGCAGTAACGCCTGAGAGCATGTCAGGAAAGCAATCGTCAGCATCCACCCAGACCTGCTGACTCAGGCGCTTTGGGTGAGCTCACCAGGTGGTGCTGAGGCCCCAAGACTTCTCTTGGGACTGAGAGCAGCAGGCACACTAGATGAGATGTGAACAGAGGGGACTGTTGTTCTGTATGTGGATATACTCAGAATGTAGAGGGAGGGATGATTTTTCACCTCCAGCCCCCACAACATCCCAGAAGTAAGGCTGAGTCAGGAACGCCCCCAAACCTCCTCCTGTCCTGGGCTGGTGGTGGAGTCGGAAATGAGGAGTGGGCAGACAGGTGGCAAGGCTTAAACCAGCTCTGTAATCAAGGGGCAAGGTCTGACTGCATCCTAAGGGGCCAGTGCTCAGCCCAAGGACTCACTAGGAAAGATGAAACAGACACACCCCTGAAAGTCCTCAGCTGCAGGACAAACCCTTGCCTCCCAGGGCAAATGGAGCCTGGAAATCGGATTTGAGGGAATCCAGTTTCTGGGGAACTCACACGCTGAGTCACACACAGTGTTGAGTGCAGTGTTCAAACTTGACTCCGTGAGGAAGGAAGCTTGTACATCAACCCCTTTCTCTATTACCATTGGATTCCCTGAGGCCACTCACCCACACTCAGAGATGTCAGAGGAGTCAGAACCCCTTCTCCACATGTTGGAAGGCTCAGAGATGTACCGAGGACAGCCAGGATCCTAGGCAAATGCTGTGTCCAAGGGTGAGAGTCTCCAGGGAGGGAATATACTGCCTGCCCCAGCTCCCTGGGTGTGTGGGAAAGACAAAGTCTGCACTGTAAGAGGTTAGTTAGTTCCTGTCCAAGTGAGGGCCAGGAGGTCTCTACCCAGCTGGTGAACATCAGTTCCCACAGGAAAGAGAGACAGGAGCAGCCATACTTCCCAATGGCTTCCCCGCATTTGGGGCACCGCCAGATACCAAGGCTGAGCTGCCACCACCCTAAGATAAGTTCCCAGCTAAAGGGAGAAGGCTAGAGTTTGGAGGGAGAGAACCCTGCCCATTCCCCATGAGAGGTTAAGGGCACAAGTTTGAACCTGTTAAGGCTTCTGTTCTAGAAACGCAAAACATGGACACATAAAGTGTGTTTACACACACATACACACACACACAACTTACAGCACTACATAGCACATGCAATCAACACACTACATGTGTACAGTATTACTGTATACACACACACACACACACACACACACACACACACACACACACACACTTGTGGGACTCTCTGATGGGATTTCTCCAGCATGCATGGGTTGCACTCACTAGAGAGTGCAGAGAATGTGGCTGCCAGCCTCACACACACCACATGTCCAAAAAAAAAAAAAGCTCTCACTCCCGTTACCAGACCCAGACCCTACTTTGGGCAGCAAATGCTCCCATAAGCATTCAACACAAAACCTATCTTGTCCTAT